GATGCAGGAACACGGAGCTGTCATGTTTTGGTTTGTGATGAATAGGTGGCACTGTAGGGCACTCTCTGCAGCTGCACACCTGTCGGGTCATGTTTGTCTGTCATGTTCTCGTTCATGTTCTCGATCATGGTTTGGTGACTGTTAGTTTCAGCTGCAGCCTGAGTTTTGTTTGATGCTTTGGATTCGTTTTGTTTTCAGGACTTTGTTTTGGATTTAGTTTTGTGTTTTTATCAATACAATGCGTCAAGTACAACCTGATCATCCCTCCTGCCTGCTTTTTGGTGTCCACCACCACCTCACAACGTGACAGAATGACCCGACCATCAACTGGACCCCGCAGGTACAAAGGACTGGTCCCGGTTCCACCATGTGCCTGGCGGAGCAGGTCTGCAGCTGGCCTAGGGGAGCACATCTGCGGCCGACACCCTTTTCCCCTTCAGCAGCGCGGGTCGTGCAGCTGTCCCATGTATCCCCTTCAGGCGGTGCAGGTCATGCGGCCGTCCCATGTTTCCCCTTCAGGCGGCGCATGTCATTGTGGCCATCCCATGTTCCTCGTCCACGTCCGGCTGTCTCATGTTCCCCGTCACGCCGAGCTCAGTCCACGTCAGGCCAAGCCCAGGCAAAGGGTTGCCGCCGCCCTCCATTCCTTTTTCCTGGCGAGGCAAGGGTTGCCATCGCTTTTCGTTCCTGTTCCCCGGAGAGGCAAGCCTTTGTTTGACTTTGGGACGTCTGGAATCCCTCCCTTGAGGGAGGGGTACTGTCATGTTTTGGTTTGTGACCAACAGGTGGCACTGTAGGGCACTCCCTGCAGCTGCACATCTGTTGATCGTTATGCAATTAGTTGCATGAAAGGACTCCTGCCCGACCACTCATTGTCGGGTCATTGTTGATTTGTTGTAGCTGTCATGTTTGTCTGTCATGTTCTTGTTCATGTTCTCGATCATGGTTTGGTGACTGTTAGTTTTTAGCTACAGCCTTGGTTTTGTTTGCTACTTTGGATTCGTTTTGTTTTCAGGACTTTGTTTTGGATTTAGTTTTCTGTGTTTTTATCAATACAATTCGTCAAGTACAACCTGCTCATCCCTCCTGCCTGCTTTTTGGGGTCCACCACCACCTCGCAACGTGACAGGAGTAGAGCTGTTCCGTGCCAGGTCCGAGCATCACCCCTCTAATCAGGCATCGTCTACCCACAAAGCACTGTTAGCCCCGAGCTCGGAGCACCGCTTCGCATCTATGTCTGCTGCACTGACAGGGAATCCGATGCAGCTGGGATCGAAAGAACGACGGCGGCAGTTCCACACCCAGTTATGCCTCTACTGTGGCCAGAAGGGTCACCGTGTCTCCGCATGCCTGACCAGACTTCCACACCAGTCACGCCCCTCCACCCTGATGGGTAACTGTCAGTCTGACACCACCTCCATAACCGACCACCAGGATCAAGGAGGGATTGATCCAACCCCGATGGAAGGTGGTGGTAACTGACTATGGGTCTTGCAAACACAGTCGGCTCGAACTTGTGGGGGAGATTGTCGGCCCTACCCAAGTGCGCCCTATTTGGTCCCTAGTTGACTCCAGGGCAGATAATTGTTTTATTGACCCGACTTTGGTTCATGATCTAGATTTTTGGTCGAATTTAAAAGAGGCTAAGCGGGTTTGCAATCTCAATGGGCGGCTCCTGACATTGGTAAAACAACTCATGGGTCCCTTGATTTCAAATATTTCAGGAAATCATGTACAGAATAGGCAATTCTTTATCATGCCCCCACGATCAGCACCATTGGTTTTAGGATAACCCTGCCTCAAGACCCACAATTCTATCATTTCATGGGACCAACCGGCCATATTGAATTGGAGTATGTTTTGTTGTGCAGATGGCCTGCGTTCAGCAAA